TTGCTTGTACCCACGCTGATATAAAGATTTTGATTAAGTTACTTTCTGTTCTGTTTAGGTGTGGGTAAATAAGGGGACAATTGTAATTTTTAAATATGTATTCGTGATGTTCAATGAAATGAAACAGCTTAGAGGAATTGTACTTTGTTTACCAAAAAATAACCTTTACTTCAATAGAAATTGCTAAGGCAATCTAAAATGTAAACATGTTCCGCCCAATGCCTCCTAGCTGTTGCTTAAAGATATAAAAATAAATCAGACCCTGAGACTTATCAGAGGGAACCTGAAGATTGCTTGAGAAGGTTCTTTTCTCATCGCCGGCCCAGGACATCTCCCCTTCCTACCCTGCATCGACATCGACTGCAGCTGGTCTGCGGCACAGCATCACACATTTAATCCAAGCATCATACTCTTCAGATTCAGCCACCTCTGAAAATCCCTACTTATGACTGCATGAGGCTTTGGGGGAACATCTAAATACAAGCCATAACAGGTACCTTGTAGAATGTTGCTCAGTTTGGGTTTGTCTGATGTTTTTTCATGGTTAGACCAAGGTTATGGACTTGGGGAAATATTACAGAAATGACGAACCTTTCTTAGCACATTGCATTAGGTGGCACACAACCTTGATATGTTCCGTTACTCATGATGAAAGTCTTGATCCCCTGGTTAAGGTGATGTCTACCAGGTACCTGGCACCATAAACTTATTGTTATTTTTCCCCCTTTTTAGTCAACAAACATTTTAGGGGAGATACTTTGAGGTAATGGGATTAGCCTATTTGTCTTTATCCCTTCACCCACTAATTTTAGCATTCATTTGTTGATCTTACCTGCAGCAACTATTACTATGGTATCTGGTGATTTTCTATTTTCCTCATTTTTTCTACAATTATTAGTTTCCCTCTTTTGTTATTTGAAATTCTACTGTAAGAAAGCGTCATCTCTTTTTTCATTCACTCATTTCTATCAGTATGGACTGATAGAAACTTATTTTACTCTTTTGGTTATATTATAATATTATCATTATTTGTTTTGTTGCTCAAATTATTCCAGTACTGGACACTGGGAACTATTTCAGGTTGTGTTTTTGACTAGTCATATTTTCTATTTATTTTTTAAAGCACTGTTGCATAAGTTCCAGGCACATCTAATATTTCTCTTGCTCCAAGGGAATCTGGGTCCTTTTCTAGCAGAGAGATTTCAAAATGATCTTCAACCTTTCTCTTGTTTCATAATAATAGATATATTTTTTAATGTTTTATTTTGAAATTTTCCCAATATACACAAACACAGACAGCCTAGTACTATACTATTTGTAGCAAGTAGTCCAGAGAGTCAAACAAGAATGCCTGTGGCAAGGCACCCTAAATGGTCCGGATTAATTGACAGCTTCCCTAAGGTTTGGAACTTCCTTATAACTTAGGGCCAACCTAAAGAAGTCAAATATATATTCTCAACCAATCACATAAGGTGCCTTGCTTCTGGATAGCCATCTACAGCTTCTCCATGCAAACACCGTCCAACCAAGATGTACCAGAAGCCTTTCCCATTTTCTGCTTTTCATAGCTGTATGGCACTTTATTGTTTATGACCATAGTTTATTCAATTAACCTTCAACTTATGGACATTTGGGCTCTTTTAAATATTTTGCTTTTGTAAACAAGTTACATGCATTGGGCATGTCCCATTGTATAAAGTCTTAAAAATAAATTAAAATGCTAGATCAAAGAGTAAATATATGTATAATTTTGCAAAATATTGTTAGATTCCTTTCCTACCATTTTCCATTCGCAACAGCAATGAATGAGAGGATTTACTTTCCATATCCAATGGAATGCTGTCAAATTTTTGGATTTTTATCAATCCAGTAGGTGAAAAGTGAGATCAGCCTATGGTTTTAATCTGAATTTCTCTAATTATGGGCAAGATTAAGCATCTTTTGTATTCTTAAGTGTTATTTGCAATTATTCTTCTATTAAATGTCTGTTCACATGTTTTACCAATTGAGCTCCTGGTCTTTTTAAAAATCCTTCAAATTTAGGCACATACTATATAGGAGGAATATTAGCATATTTTTACATACATTGAAAGACTTTTTCTAGTTTTCAGCTTTTTGTTTCACTTTACACTTTCTTATACATATTTAATGTGTGTTTCTTAACTTTTTAGATAACTTAATTGTATTTTACCCTTTGTTCTGGATTTTGAGTGACTGGAAAGTTTCCTCCACTCTCAGTTTATTAAAAATTCATGCAATTTCTCCTACTAGACTTAAGTAGTCCTCTTTTTCTTTTTAACAGCTTTATTAAAATAGATTTCACATATTATAAAATTTACCCATTTAAAGTATACAGTTTTATGGTGTTTGATTTCTTGAATTATTTTTTTAGTGGTGATAATACATATATAGAACAGTAAATTTGTCATTTTCACCACTTTTAAATGCGATTTGATGGCATTCATTACATCCATTCACCATGTTGTGCAACCATCACCATTTGCAAAACTTTTTCATCACTCCAAACAGAAACTGTTTTAATTAGTTTAATTAGTTAACTGTTTAGTTTTGATTAAAGCTAATTTTAATTAGTTTTTAGTTTTAATTTTTATTTTTAATATAAAAATATTATTATTAGTTTAGTTTTAATTCATTTTAAATAGTTATTAAACTGTTTAATTAGTTATTGAGAGCTTCCCATCTTTTCTCCTCCAGGTCTCTGCTAACGTCTATTTTGCCTCTGAAATTGTCTATTCCAGAAATTTCATATAAGTGGTTTCATACAATATTTTTCCTTTAGTGTCTGGCTTCCTTAACTTGCCATGTTTTCAAAGTTTTCCAAACTGTAGCAAACATCAAAACTTCACTCTCTTTTAAGACCAAGTGATATTCCACTGTATGACTTACACCATGCTTTATTAATTTATTTGTTGATGGACACATGTTGTTCCCACGTCTAAGTATTAGAAATAATGCTATAAACAGCCCAGGAAGCCAACCTACTATTAACACTGGTGTACAAATGTCTATTAGAGTCCTTGTTTTTTATTCCTTTGAGTCTTTTGTATTCCTTTGGATACCTAGGAGTGAATTGATGGGTTGTTTGATAACTTTAGCTTTTTGAGGAACTGGTTATATGGGTTCAGCTTGTCCTGACTGCAGCTGTTCTGAGCATGACTACTAGTGAGTAATTCTGTCAGTTTTCCCTTCACAGTTTTCCAGCACACTGTAAATAAACAAAACCATTAGAGTGGTATGTGGAACGTTATGACTGGACCTTGATTGGACCCTGGTGTTTTTAGCACCAGGAATGTGCCAGAAGTATTTGATATTAGCTTGAGATAAACCAGGCATATTTCTGGCTTGGATAAAGTCACTTTTGTCCTATTATATACACCCCTCCTTTTACCCCAAATCAAAAAGATATAACTTTTACTGCCACCCAGGACTATTCTCAGTAAGTCTAATAAACTGTGCTCTGTGCAGCCCTGAATCTGTCTGCTTCTTTTCCTTGGTCTTACCATGCCTTGGGGCCAGTTTTCATACACAGGATTGGTCTGGAACACTGCCAAACTGTTTAACTCAGTGACTGCGTCATTTTATATTCCCACTGGCTGTTTAAGAGAGATCTTGTTTTTCCATAGCCTTACTAATACTTGTTATTTTCCACTTCTGGTTTTTATAAAAAATAGTCATCCTAGTAGCTGTGGAGTGGTATATCACTTCACATTTCTGGTTTTGCTTTGCATTTCTGTAATAACTAACAATGATGAGTATATTTTCTGGTGCTTATTGACCCATTTAAATATTTTCTTTGTAGAAATATCTAGTCAGGTCCTTTGCCATTTTTAAAATGGGTTGTATTTTTGTTACTGAGTTAGAGAAGTTCTCTATGTATTCTAGATATTAAACCCTTTTCAGATAGATGAATTACAAATATGCTCTCTCATTCTGTAGATTTTTTCACTTTCTTGAAAATGTCATTGGATGCAAAAAGATTTTTACTTTTGATGGAGTCCAATTTATATATTTTTCTTTTGTTTTTCATGTCTTTGATTTTATAAGAATTCACTATCAAACTCAAAGTCCTTAAGATTAATCCTTGTATTTTGTTCTAAGAATTTTATGTTTCTAGGTCTTATATTTAGGTTGTTGGTCCAATTTGAGTTAGTTTTTGTATATGGTATGAGGTAGGAATCTAACTTCATTATTTGTGGCTAACCTTATTTCAGCACTATCTATTAAAGAGATTATTCTTTCCTCTTTGAATGGACTTAACATCCTTGTCAAAAATCAACTAAACAGCAATGCATGGATTTATTTTTAAGTTATTTATTTTTTATATACAGAAAGTATTTATATATGTTTATAGTATAAAATGATTATATTCCTTATGGGAAGTAGGTTCATGTACATATCTTCTTTTTATTTTCTTTCCACTCTCTTCCCTCCCTCTCCTTCCATCTCAAGATCCCTTTCTCACTTACCAAAGATCTGTCTTCCTACTTGTCTATCTTTTCTTTTACTCTTTAATTTATTTATACTTTGAATCTCTATGTCTATTCTTATGTCAGAACCACACTGTTTTATTACAATAGATTTTTGGTTAATTTTGAAATAGAAGTGTGAGTCCTTTAACTATGTACAAGTTTTCCAAGATTCTTTTGTTAGAGTTCCTTGAAATTCCATATTTATTTTGAGGCTTGATTTTTCTATTTCTGCAATAAAGGCATGACAATTTTTATAGTTAATGAATTGAATCTGCAGATTGATTTGGGTAGTATTGACAACTTGAAAATATTAAGTCTTCTTATCTATGAACCCAGGATATCTTTACATATATTTAGGTCTTGTAAGGTACTTCTTGATACTCTTTAATAGAACACTAATTTGGTGAAAATCACGCAACTCCTTCTAAAGTTACTATGGAACACACTGACCAAAAAGTCCTAAATGTTGAATGATAGCATTAAAACACATTTCACTGCAATTCACAAAGTATCACTTTATTTTCATATAAATAATTGCTACTGATGAAGGGAAAAATTTTTGACTATCAGTACTTACTTGGTAAACTACCTTTCTAGGGCACTGATGAAGGAATATAGAATGTATCTTCAAAGTGGCAGGGGACATAGGGACAAGCACACAAGATTGAAAGCATAAAAGCATATTCTCATGAGGACCAAGCAATCCTTGTTATTGGAGGACCAAATGGAATCATCATTAATATAAGTAGAATCAAAGTTCACAATCTGTAAGTCTTTCTTCAGGTATGCATGATTCAGCTTATTTACAGTTCGAGCGAAGGCATATTTAGAAGCACAACTATATGCTTCTAAACTGTACACTTTCTTGAAGTGCAGATCAAAAAATGGATTGTCCTAGAAGAGAAAGAGAGACACGATTTAATTTGTAACCATGAAAGTAGTTTCCTGGATTCTTTCATATTCTCTTGGGTATGTTTTTTTGACTGTAAAGTATCAGTGTAAAATATATTTCTGAAATGTACAAGTGAGTTTCTTAAAACTACCTACTTCAAATATAATTTTTTAAAAAGAAATAAACAATAAGAAAAATTAAACCAGGCATGGTGGCATGTGCTTGTAATATCAGCACCCAGAGAGGCTGAAAACAGGAAGATTGCAAGTTCAAGCCCAGCTTGGGCAATTTAATGACATTTTCTTGAAATAAAATATAAAGGCTCTAGGGATATATCTCAGCATGAAGGCTCTGTGTTCAATCCCCAGTATCTCACACACACACACACACACACACACACACAAAGAAAAATTACTTTTTTTTTTGGTACTGGGGATTGAACTCACGACCTTGCACTTGCCAGGCAGGCGATGGCACCACTGAGCTAAATGCCTGGCCCGAAAAATTACTTTTAAGCATCTATGTCTTCTTAATTATACAAATGAAACAGATCATAGAATGTGGAGTAATCAATTCTTCCCAATACAGTGAATTTCAGAGAATGAGTAAGGATGGAAGAAGAGAATAAATTCACTTATACACTTGTGGAAGGGAGAAAAGATTTCTCTCTGTCTTTACTAGGACTTGGGTCCTTTAACTGATCTTTAAAGATGAGTAGGGGAAACACAAGATGGCTAATTGAACTTTAGCATACTGCAGATCACCATCTTGATGACTTTTAAATTAACAGCAAACTACACCTGTAATCCCAGCACTCAGGAGGCTGAGGCAGGAGGATTGCTGTCACTTTGAGGCCAGCCTGGGCTACAGCGAGAGTTTAAGGCCAGCCTGACCTACATAGCGAGACCCTGCCTAAAATGAAATAAAATAAAATGAAATAAATAAATAAAATTAACAGCAAGGTATTATCTTTGACATTAATAGTCTAAGGACCACTAGGTCATTTGACAGAAACTGAAAAATTATTTCAGATTGCCTCCTATTGGACTACTATATTTCTAGTGGAGGTGTTTTCAAGAAAAGCAGACATTATACCTAAACTAATCTATGTCTTATAGCTTAAAACAATAACAATTGCTACTGTTATTAACCACGGTGATAGTGAGGCTTGCATTTATACAATGTACAGTATACATTTTTGTTTAGAAAACGCTTTTACACTCATTATCTGTCAAACTCTTAACTCTCCTTGAGGGGAAAGATTCTGCATTATTTATCATTGTGTTCCTGGTGTTTATCCATGGCAACTACTAAGTTCCCAACAAATCAGTGTTGGATTGATCTGAAGTAGTTTTATATAAATGAAGAAGCAGAGGTAAATGTTACTCTAAATGACAAAGAAGCATGGAGGGACAAAACCCCCCAAGAGTATCAACTCATTAGCATGTGGTAGGTAAACATTATATACAAACAACTTATATATTTTCAAATAGGAACATTCTTGTAAAACGCAGGAAAAAGAACATGTCTTGAAGTTAGATGATCATTTTTGATTCTCAAATATAACTAGCTTACTACTGTACTTGTCTGATTTGATCATCACTTTTTCATTGTTGTTTTGTTTTATTTTTTTGAGACAGTGTCTCGCTTTGTAGTGCAGGTTAGATTTGAACTCACTATGTAGCCCAGGCTAGCCTTGAACTTGCAGTGATCCTTCTGCCTCAGCCTCCCGAGTGCTGGGATCACAGGCATGCATCACCATGCCTGGATAACCATCACTTTTTTCTCCATTTCAGATAGAGTTGCTATGAAATTTATATGAGATTAATCATATGAATTGCCTAGTATGGAGTTTAATAAATTATAATTCCCTTTCTCAGATTGATATTAGGGTTAATACGTGTTCCTTCTGTAGTTTTCTCTCCAAATTTTTGCTCTTCATCATGTAGAAAATTTCCTTCATGTCTTTGAGATCCTTAGAAAGGAAGAACCTTTTCCTTTCATGAAATACTTGAAGGCTGAACAGGCTTGCACGTAGAATGTAAGTCCCTTCCTTCTTTTCTTCATCTCTCTCCCCGCCTTCTTTCTTGTTTTGATAGATTTCTAGAGCTAAAGGGGGGATCTCACAGATTATTTAGTAATCCCTTGCTCAGAGTTGGGTAATAGTTTTCAGAGAAGTGAAATTCAGGCCGTACTTGTAGTTATTGGCAGAGCTAGGACAAGAATCAAAATGCCAGCCAGCCGGCCCCATCTTTTGCTCCATAGTTCTGTCCGCCTCCAGATCCTGCATTGTTTTTATTTCTGCTTCATGAATTGACTTCAGTATCAGTTCCATTTCATTTTAGTTGACAACTTTCTGGCATGAAATTGCTCTATTTACAATTGTATCAGTGCCATTGAGAAAAATGTCATAAATGCTGACTCCCGAGGATTCAATTCCAAGAGAGAGAAGTAGAAATTCTCAGGACAGTGATGTATTTTTACTTAATCTGTAGAAAATAAATCTTTAAAAGAACTACTTTTTTGATAGGATAGTTTTTCTTCTAGCAATTTTATATTACAGGTCTCAAGTGGTAAGAAAAATAAAAACACTCAGCTTCTCTTTTGTATTTAGTTCACTATCAAAGATCATGATCTTCAAACAGAAGGGGGAGGAATAAGTAATGCCGAGAGCCTGAGAGGCCAAGAAAGGTATGACAAAGATAGAACATAGCTAACTGCTTCCAATGAGTCAAAGTTGCCAGGCCTGATGGACATGCCCCAGGCATTAGCCAAAATTATAGAAAATAATTGTGATATTAGTAATAGTTGAGAAATGTGAGAAAAGAGAAGAAGAAAAAAAGAAATTGGGAAAAAATTGAGTGAAGACAATTCCTGAACTAAATACTTTGGCAAACTTGATGTGGATTACTGATATAATTCAATGCAGCACAGAAATTGAGCAGTATAGAAAAGTGTAAAGTACAGAAAAGTATAGAGAAGAAAATAATTTTTAACTCACATAAGGTAACTATTATTAAAGTACTGGTTTGTTTCATTTGTGACATATTTACACACATACACATACCTACATGTATTTTTTGTACTAAAATTTAAGATGTAGATTTCAATAACATGATAGAGTAAGTATGTAAATTTGACATACTGTTCAGTAAAGTTTTGTATTCAGCTGAGTTTTTAAAACCTTATTAAATGCTAGGCCAGGGATTTAGCTCAGCTACACTGCACCTGCCTTGCAAGTGCAAGGTCCTGAGTTTGATCCCTGGTACTGAAAAATCTTATTAAATGCTGAACAATTGTGTTCTGAGGTATTCTTTTGGAAACACATTTTCTTGTAATGGTTCCATCCCATTCCATCTCATGGATATGCAATAATATATTTAACCAATTCCTAAGTAAAATTTAAGGTAAAATATATTTTCAGAAAAATCTGTGAGTGCTTAGGAAACAAACAATGAAATCTAGCATTCTTTCACCAAAGGGTCCTGCCAATGCACTAAATTTTAAAAGTATAATTCTTGGGTGATAGTCAATTAATAGCTGAAAACATATATTTATTTCAGTACAGGATAAATTTTAGATATTCATAATAGATGAGTAATTCATAAATTAAGGCAGAATTAAGTACTTAGGGCTAATTGTCCACTCTAGCCATAGAGGTCTGGTATACTATAAAATTCATAATATAAATCTTTAATAAGTGACTGAACAAAGGAATGAATAAACATATGAACTTATGAAGGCTAAATAAGTAATCTAAAGGCTAATTAATACATTTCTGGATAAAGTTTACTTTTACCACTTAATAGTTATGTGACTTTGACCCGTTCAATTAGTCTCTTTAAATCTCATTTCCTTCATCTGTAAAATGGGAGTAGTAGAATCAAATTCATGGATTTTATGATAATTTTCTAAAATTAAATATAGAAGGGGCTTAGTTTGTTTCCTGGCACCTATTAAGAGTTCACTAATTGTGGGATAGTAGCAGGCAACATACTAATACTAGTAGTAATGATAACCATCAATTGCTTAGAGATCAATACTTGGATGAAGTCTTAAATGCTCTGTTCATTAAATCTGTATCATACTATAGATCTATCAAAATTCAAGATATTAGAAGAGTTGATAGGCTAAACTATCAACGAGACTTATAGTATTAAGAATAAATAGAATAAAGTTCTAATTCACTCAACAATTACACCACAAATATTGAGTGCCTAATATCTATGAGGCAGAAAACTAAGATAAAGAATAAAAATCATGGTCCCACTATTTAAGGAGCTTCCCATCCAGCAGGGAGATAGGGTAACCCTAGAACTGCAGTTTGGGGTTATGGCTGCAACTATTTACATCCATAATGACTGGGTGTATAGGGGTATGGTGCCACATGTAGGACTTTTCCCAGTGGGAAATATGAGAATGGGTTAAAACGTTAGGGTGATTGCACAGTCTAAGCCTTAAGAATCAGTACTTAATTAAGTAGTGTGGACATATAAGCCTCAAGGGCTGGGGGTAATGAGTTCTTCATCAACAGAAGAGTTCAAAGACAGAATGGGAAAGCTATGTGGGGAAGACTGAAGCACTCACCCTTTTCCCCCTTTTAACTCTAAAGTTGTAGGGATTTCAAGTAACGTGATCCTTCTGGCAGATGAAGTCGGCTGACAGAGGGAAGGAATCTCTAAAACTTACAGAAGAAACTGGAATGGAGAGAGTATTGGTAGAAGGGTCGTATGTTTGGAAAAATGGCATTCAAAGTTTCAGAATTGCCTGGTAGTTGTGTTTAACGTGTTAAGAGAATTTGAGAAAGATACTTTCAAATTTAATAGGCAAAATTCACAATTAAACTCATAAAAGCAGAACAAAAAACCAGTAGATCATCCCAGAAAATTAATCCATACTGCTTAAGAATAATATAGCGTCATGTTAACACTTAGTACATGCCAAGAACATATGAAATAGGATATTGAACATGAAGATCCCCAGCATATTGATCCAATATCTCCCTTATAAAATGTAACACTTACTGTATCTGCTTCTTTTCCATCAATCATTTGCAGATCATTCAAAGACCACTTTTTTGTTACTTCATATTTTTCATCTAAACCTATTCTGTAGTGTTTCACCATAATTATTTTAACTTCTTCATTTTTGGTCACTGTAGGACAGAAAAGTACTTAGTTTACATAAATTCTTCAAAGATGATAAACTATTCAAGTCACAGTTTTCAGTACTTATGTATATCTTTTTATTTAATGATTTTGAACCTGCATTAGAACTGCACTCCAAATCTGAGCCGTCATGGATATAAACATTCATGAACATGCCTCTAAATTGGTTCCCTGGATTAACTTGATTTTTGCTACAGCCACAGCCATGTCTGTCAGATAGAACATTAAGCTATGTCCTCTGAGCACTGAGTGGTGGGGAGTGGGGCTCAACTTGGGGCAGGAAATAAAAGGCTTAGCATTAGCACAAAGTCAGTGCCAAAGTGCTTACCAGAACAATTTGGAATTTCAATTTATGACGATATAAGAAAGTGAGGTAAGAAAAGCAAATAGTTCTGCTCACATAACAATGCAGAATTGTAGAGTGACCAAGCAGTATTACAGAATTCGGATACTTTTTCTAAATTGGCAGTGATCTGTAGAATGTAGAAGTGCCTGTATCCCAGCTACCATTGACCTGATTGGTATTGTTTGAGATTTTTAATTCTTTCAAGTGTGTCTCTCAAATTTTAGTGTTAAAAATGTGCCACCAGCACAGACGGTTTTAGTACTGTATTTGAAAGATGTGGAAAATCTTTGCTTATTTTATGTAAACAAAATAAGGGAAATTTCCTGGTCTTAAAATCATTTGTCTTTGGTCTCACATAAACACATCAGAAGAATCAACAGTTGAGCACAGAGTTCCTGCGTTGAAAATTATCAATGAATTAATAAAAGGAGTATTTACTGAGTAGTTGCTATTTGCGTATTAGATTATAAGTGCCACAGGGGAGGCAAGTAATAGACATGGTCTCTGCTCTCTAGAAATGTATGGTTTGATTAAGGAGATAAAGCTAACACATGAGTCACATCTAATAGTATATTACTAAGCTGTGGTAGGTACGGATTGAATGTCTAAATAAATTTTTTCCAAATGAATAATGCCATTTATAGAGTCGCAGGCTGGTCTTTTAAGAGTAAGACAAGTTTGATTTGGAATAGACCTTCTCTTGATTCTGACAAGTACTGCTTTATTGTACTGCTGTGGTCTGAATGTTTCCCCTGAAGCTTTTGTGTGGGAAACTTAACTCTATTGCAATAGTGTTACAAGGTGGCACCTTTGAGGAGAGATTGGGTCATGAGTGTCTGCCTTCAAGTATGGGTTGACTGTGGTCACAGGAGTGGGGTTGTAATTGTGGGATGAGTTCTTGATGAAAGGCTGAGTGTAGCCTACTTCCCTTCCCCCCTTTCTCATTTTCTCACACACTCTCATCCTTCTGCCTTCCACTATGGGATGACACAGCAAGAGTGTGACCTGACTTGACCTTGGACTTCCCAGCCCCCAGAATTATAAGACATAATCTCTGCTCTTAAATGACCCCACCTCAGGTATTCTGTCAGCACAAAATGTACCAAGACCCATGCCTTCCTACTCGTGTAGATATAAAACACTATATTATAATAAAATTAGAGTGATAGCTATGGGATGTGGAGCAGATTATATGTTTAACAAGAGTTCTGAGAAGGGAGAGAATTGATATAGTAAAAGAAGGATTTACAAAAGAAATAGAATTTGAGATGAGGCTTTAACACTAGTGTACTTTGGAAAGGCAGTGGTCATTCTGAAGGCATTTCTAGAAGAAAAGCATGAAAAAATGAATATAAAGTAGCAGCTAAACTCCACAAGGTAGAAAGAAGAAACCAGATTGTATAGATTGGTTGATGTTAGCACATGGTAGGCAATAGAATTAATTAGATTGAGGAAGTTGTGAAAGTGTTTTGAAAGACTCTGGATTTAAAAAGCAACAAAAGCCACTATGATGTTACGATATCTGAATTCATTCTTTTCACAGGAGAAATGGGAGGCTGGCCAGGATATCAAGGGCTAAAGAACTGGGGCTGGTGGAGGAAGTAAATTTCCTCTGAGGGTAAAGGTGATACTGAAATAAAGGTGACCAGTTGCTAGAGAAGGGAGCCAGAGCAGATTGACAAACCTAAGACTTGCAAGCTCATGCTGCAATACCTACTGTCAGTGTTCTTCCTCCTTGAGCACGGTGCTGATAACATGGTGCCCTGTTAAAGGAGTATTTCCTTGGTAGTGGCAATGCACAGGATACATTAAAGGAGAAAAGAAAGAGGAATTAGAGAGCCCTGGGGGAGACAATGTGGCTCAGTGGGCTCTGGCATTAGAGGTTCTGGAGTCAAGTCATGTACCACAGTATGGTGTGATGAAGTTACTTGATCTCTAGAGAGAATAAACCTCATTTTTTCATGTTGTAAAGTGAACATCAGAATGACACAAACTTATAAAGATTGAAGCAAATAAAATATGTAGAGGACTTGGGGAGGTATGTACTTTCAGTATCTCTTAGTTATTTTCTTGTTGCTGAGACATAATATCCAACACCCACAATTTAAAGGAGAGATTTATGTTGGCTCATAGCTTAGTCCACAGTTGGCTAGCTCCAAGATAGAAATGGCATGGCAAAGGGGCATAGTAGAGGAAAGATGCTCACATTATTTCGGCACAGGAAGAAAAATAAGGAAGTGGGGAGGGAGATATGCCCTTCCTGGTCATGCTCCCACGATCTACCTCTAATCATGCTTCACCTTCTAATAGCACATTCAGCTATGGATTCCTCAGTGGACTAATCCACTGCTTAGTATGGCACTCTGTGATCCAAACACCTTTCAAACATGAGGCTTTGGGGGAACACCTCAGATTTAAATCGTAACGTAGTAGTAGTTGAAAGGTTTTGGTTTGTTTGTTTTATAGGCTGTTGTGGTAATGTAGGCATAGGATGTGGTTAATGGTATCAGAAGTGGTAAATCCAAGGAAGGTTGTAGATGAGGCATTGACAGCACTGGATGGAAACCCAACAGTGGATGCAAACCGAAATACAAAAGTATGGAGGGTGAGCTGGCTGGGTGGAAAAATGAGTTTGTTTTTGACATATAGGTGAGGTATCTACAAATTGTCTCAGGAGAGAATGAGATTGCAAGTTTTGTACTTTAGAAATGGATATATAGATTCAAGATTTTGTGTGTGATGAGGTTTTAAGACCAAGTTTAGAGGGAAAAGAGGAGAGGAAAGAGGTAAGAAAAAGTGAAGAAAAAAGAGATGCTAGCAAAAAGGTCTGAGAAGGCCTTTGGAAAGAGACCAGCACAATAGTGTAATGCCATGAAATCCAGAGGATGAAATATTCCAAAGGTTTGGAGACATTCCTGTGAAGTCATTTTTGTTGGGTGAGGCAGAGTTCAGTCCCAACACTGCAAGTGATCTGGGGAATGTCATCGATTTCTACTGTGAAGGCAGTTTCTCCACAATGGTGAGGGCAGAAAGCGATGTTCAGGACTCCTTCACTCACTGGTGCTGACTGAGTGCACATTGTGCGCTGGTCCTTGGTTTAGGTAAGATTTAAAAAGAAAAATTTAAGAAAGGAGGCTGAAGGCTATGATTTTGGTCATCCATTCCATAAGTTTGAAAGAGGAGGGATGGCATATTTTGGGAACAGGGGGGTTGATGGAGGGGCATGTTTGGAGAGGGTCTCAAGCAGATGACCTGGGGTCAATGAATTTCAGCTCAAAGATGACCTGGGGTCAATGAATTTTGGCTGGAATCATTCAGACTTTGTGCAGAAGTTGGTGGGAGCTTCTGCCCAGTTGTACTTCTTAGCCCTAAGAAATGGTTCATCTGCATAGGTCTACATGTTCACTTTGGGAAGAGAAAAGGATTAGAAGAGAAACATTAGGTTGATGCATTGAGGTGGAGGCACAGCTGATTTTGTCATGCTGACTAAGTACAAGATCTTGAAGGCAGTTCCTTCTACTAGGAGGCAGTTGTATCCATGCAGACAAAAGGTCTACCCCAAAACCTAAGGATAAGCTGAGTGTGGTGGTACATGCCTGTGATCATACCACTCTGTGAGGCTGAAGTGGGAGGAATGCAAGTCTGAGCCCAGCTTGGGGAACTTAGTGAGACCCTCTCTTAAAAAAAAAAAAGGGCTGGGGATGTCACTCAGTGGATAGGCCCTAGATTCCATCTTCAGTGCTAAAGGACAGTGTACTTGTTCCAGCTACACATCTTACATCTCACTAGTTACTTCAAAGGGTGAAAAAGAGTGAGGATGGGAAAATATAGAGACATATGTGAATATGGTATGAAAATATACTTTTTCAGGGGACAAATTCCACTGTCTTGTCTACATTCTGATAATCAGCTGATTAACTGGAAAGCCACACATTCAACTCAGTAAGATGATAAATGTTCAAGTACCCTTTTGTACCAAGCACGGTGCTAGGAATTGAAAAACTGAATTCCTACAGAGCACCATTCCTGCTTTCCTAGACTGCAGGGAAGGGGGCTTCAGGCAGAAAAAGTGTGTTCACCATGCTGTGAATGAGGCAGGGACAGGGAAGGGGAGGGACACAGAGGAGGGACATGTTCATCTACTGGACTTTGGGAGGAGCTTCCAGAGGAAGGTAATCTGAGCTGTAAAGGGTAGTAGGGGTTAGGGAAAGAAGAAAGGGCCAATAGGAGCCTGGAAGAGCACGGGGACAAAGGTGTGCCATACTCGACACTTTGAGTAGTTAGAAGGATTTGGCATTGTCGGCCTGAGGTATGACTATGGACAAGTGGTAGGAAGTGAGGTAGGCAGGAGTTAGCCCCTGAAGAGTCTGGAATGCAAAATAAGGAGTTCAAGTGTTATTCTAAAGGCTGTGTGTGTGTGTAAAATTTTAATTGAATGGACAGGCTTACATTCTTACATTTATATTTTTAGAAGATTATCTTGGAAAGTTCCATAAAGGATGTGTTGGAGGTGGGGACTGTCCCACTAACAGCAAATTAAGAAAAGATCATTCTTTAAAAGTTAACCTTTAATCAAAGGATGTAGCACACAGAGAGTATAGCTCCTTCATTCGACACAAGAGCCTTTTTTAAGGCTAAGTG